TCACCTCGCTCACAAGGGCCTGGGAGCACTTCTCACCTTCCCTCTGCTTGTCTGGGCTCCCCTCTCTATGACACTATTGGAAACAGCAAAGAGTCAGCGTTTCAAATTATTGTTTATCTAGCTTACTATTGATTTCCTAAAGATCTCCAAGCCTAAGCACGGCCATGTAAATAAACAGCTCACCCTTAGTCTCTACATACACCACAAACAGCAGCCCGGGGTTCTGCTGTGTCCTTCTAGCAGGGGAGGAAAAGACCATCTTAGCCAGAGCAAGTCGCCTTAATAAAACCCTGTTTCCACCACTTACAAAAGTAAAATAGAATGGAAACTGCTTTCTTTCACTCCCTGTACAGATTGTTTTCCAGTACTGTCAATACTAGAGAAGCAAATAGTGTTCACTCATCAACATGTTCCACTGATACTTCGGCCAGGATGAAAAAAAACTAAAAAATAAACTTGAAAAGATCTGAGTTTAAGGCATAGGACCAAAAGGAAGAGCAACAGCAGAGATAATACATAAGAGCAAACTTTGAAAAGAGGTCGGCACACAAATATAATTGAATTGGTACCCACGTGCTATAAGTATTCACCTTATGGCAGTAAATCCTTAAATCTGAACCTAAACATGCTAGAGAGACTATCTAGAGGAAAGGTGTAAATAAATATTATTAATAYTTTAGTTTTGGGGAGAAGGTTTCTGTTCTTACACTCACCCACCTTTTTTTCCAGTGCTTACAGACAAAAATGAATTACACTATCCAATAACTATTTCTATTATTAATCTAGCAGTGCTAATAATTAAATGAAAAAAAAAAAAACAGCATCAAATATTATTTGTCTAATCCTATAATAGCAACCCTGACCTTGACCTCAATATTATAATTAAGAAAATGTGATATTAGAATRTATCTACCACACAAATACAAAATGGAATTTATTTACTCCATCTAGTAAGATCAGAATCAGAGAACAATCCACCTAGGCAAATCCAACAGTGTTTGGCCTCAACAGGACACTCCCAAATTTCTGAATATAAATATTTTCCCATCAAGATCACATGGAAATTATGTTTCCTTTACATTAAAAGTAGCATATAATAATAATTACCTGATTAAAATTTTTGAAATTGAACTCTTTGTAGATGGCATCTCTTTCGCCTAGTTCAGACCAGCCCGCAGCTTTAAGATCCAGTAAAACTTGGTTCCTTTCTTCTGTTGTCAACCAGTGAGACTGTGAAGACTATCAAGGAGAAACAAAAAAAGAAAACAGGAAACATTCCACAAGTGAGGCTGAAGTCCTATTTTATACAACAATAAGAAAACCACATGAGGAAACTGTGGTTATGTATTGTAGAAATGTAAATGTTCAAGAAACAAGAGGTATTTAAAAAATCACTATGTGATTTGTTAGTTTTGATAATTTCTCACACCAGCATAAYTCATATTACTTGAAACAACCAAGAAACCCTGATTCTGTTTGGTCCAAGGAGCCTGGCTATGCGTTTTTGCATTGAATTGCAGGTGAGTGATTGACTCTTATGCAACCAAACACGGACACGAGCATCCCTGCACCCTACAGTCTGTTCACCCGAATGATCCAGAGGCTGTAACACTCGAATTAATTTCCACAGAATTATTTTGCCATGTAAATTAGATTATTTACATGGTGCATTGAATGTACAATTATAAGAGGCTAGAGGGATGTATCAGGGGAATATCTGTATTTTAAAGGACAGAAAAAAAAACATAAAATATGAGATGGCATTAAAGATAACTTTGCTTAGGAATAGTAAAATATGAAATGGATTTACAAATAGCAAGCATTGCAGAAGTCTAAAAGCAACTGAAAGGTATTTTTTCCACTGACAACACCAAAAAAAAGACAATRCAAATACTTGCAGCTGCAAGCTATTGATACAAACACTCAACACTGTAACAGCACTCACACATACGTCCAATTCTGAGCAAAGTGAGTCCTCCTAAACCCAAGGGGAGCCCAGACTTAGCAGATTATACCACCTGCTTAAACACCTCAATCAGTGTCTAAAAAGAAATCTGAAGATAGAAGAGTCTATAGGTTATTTTGAAAAGGTCTGATATTTTTTCCTAGCATCTGAGATTTAACATGAGTGATTAACTATGGACTGCTTATTCTAACAGACCGGTCTCGAATTTACTCTATAAATGTAATAACCTAACAGGAAGATTTTTCTCCCTCACCGAGCAAAACCCAGCTTGTTTGGCCTTTGTGAATGCTAGCAGCAATCATAACCATGCAAACATACCATAAATACCTTTCTGAAAGTCCAAGAGCACGTTTGCACCAGGACTTCAGTAACACACAGGGGGTCTGCAAATATTGACAGCAACGCTCTTCTGTCCAAACTTGGGTCTTTTGCCTTTTTTTGACAGTTTCACGTGCAGTTATTTCATTAGAGAGGTGCATGTCTTTGACCCCCAGTCACTCTCTTGGTACTTACGAAGGGATCTGACAGGGCTAATGGGCACAATTAGCGATTGCCGAGCGCTCGGGTCCGTCTGGAGCCCTCTGCCACCAGATGGTGCTGCACGCCAAAGCCAACGCTGCTTAGAACGTTTAATTATTAAATATTTGAAAAAAATATTCAAATATAAGACATTAAAYATTTAATGCAATCTTAAAATATTATTTCATGCAGTATTAAAATAAAGCTTGTGTTAATGCAATTAATTCTAGCTCTGCAAATGCCTTTAGGATTGCTCTTTATTACAAATCTTTTATCATGCAGGAGAGARGAGCAAATGCATAGGCACAGCTAAGGAGCAGCCAAAGGAAGCCGCTGTGATTTCCAAGAGGCAAAATTTTCATCAATAAGGGACAAAAATAAGGGAAGTCACCCCAACAGCAGCACTTAGTGGGGGTTACGTCCAATAGGACACAGACATCCGAACACACAGGTTTTGTAGTGCTCAGACTGACCCGATTTAGGCCCTTTGCCCTTCAGAATAACACTGCAGGCCTGCAGGAATAAAGCAGTGGTTGGATGTCAAACGTGTATTGCTATGACAACACTTTAAGTTAGATTTTTTTCCTTCAAAATTATTATTTAATTTGCCGAGAGGCAAAATCAGGAGCTGATCTGAGAAAGTCCTGGGCGGTTTTGTTTCAGGTAGCAAAGGGCAGGGTTTGGGCCAGCAGTCGGGGCAAGGTTCGCTCTCCTGCTCATCAKCAGCGCGTTTGATGGGTTAAACACTGCGGTTGCGTTCCCAAGGCCCTGCTTTGGCCACAGAAGTCAAAGACACAGTTTGGTGATTTAAAATTAAATTGCATATTTCTTCATATGAACAGGGAGACTGAGCTTGAGTAGACCTGGGAAAGGAGTGTGGGAAGAACGAGTTAGGACAAAGAAAAATTAAAAGTTACCTGGGGACATCAGAGATTAGTGCAGAATATTTGGTGTTTGAAGGGCAAGATATGAACTCTGCAAACACGTGCAGTCACTATGTCATGTAACTATATATACACATATATGTATGTTTACACACACACAGAAGAGCTTTGCCTCAGCTGTCTACAGACCTTCAACGCGTTACTGGAGCCCTGATGCAAAACTGCTCAGCAAATTTCAGTACCGTGTACATCATCCCTCTGCATCGGCACCTACCAGTATCTATCCTACATGCATATTTATATMTATACACATATAAATTACAAAATAAATATACACACACGCGTATATATGTACACATGTACACACATATATATATATACACACACACATATATATATAATACACATATATATACACACACATACGGCAGTTTAAAAAAGAACAAAACTAAATCATCAAATCGGAATTTCTCTGCTCGGGACTGGCTGAAATGCGAAACTTTTTTGGGAAAAGGTCTCGTTTCCAGGGTCCGCCCGCTGCGGGCCGCGCTGAGGCCGCGGGGCCGCCCCGCCGCCCGCTCACCATGGCCGCCGCCCGCCGCGCTCCCAGCAGCGCCCGCCGCAGCGCGCCCGCGCCGCCCGCCATGGCGCCCGCCCCGCCCACACCGAGAGGCTCCGCCCCCGACGGCGCCCGCCCCGCCCACACCGAGAGGCTCCGCCCCGCCACGGTGCCGGGCCCACCCCGCCCACCACGGCGTTCGCCCCGCCCACACAGGGAGCCCCCGCCCTCCACGACCCTCGCCCCGCCCACACCTGAAGGCTCCGCCCACGATAGCGCTCGCCCCGCCCCCAGGGAAGGCCGGGACCTTTCCTGCCTGGGAAGGGGAGGAGAACAAGGGCGACAGGGGAAACCAGGAATTCCTGGGGAGGAAGGGGGCCCTACAGGGAGCCGCGGGGGTTATGGCTCCCCGTCTTCCTTCTTAGCTTCATTTCTGCTCAGAAGCTTCATAACAGGGTTTTATATCAAACCTAGGTCACCTATAGAGGCTGTGCCATCAAATCACACAAAAACCCACGCACAGCACCCACTGCACCTTAATCTAGGCCTGCAGSATTAGTCACCACTAAAAACCTCGCTAGTTCTTTACATAGCACYAGCAGCAGACTTCCCAAGTGAGCAACCAACCATATGTTAGGAGAAATGTTAATAAAATCTCAACTTCATCTCGCTAATTTAGGTTGGTGAGCGATGCTTCACGAGCAGCATTTGCAGTGCTGCGAGGAAGTCACTTAAGGCCGTGCAGAAGGAATGCGGTTCCATTCCACAGGGAAGCGCCAGTCACACACCCACACAGTGCAGTGACCTTTAGGAAAGGCTCTCAATGCTACAAAGAGCCACTGCTGCAAGTCAGACTGTTGCTCACAACTCGCCGACCACAGCCTCTAATGTCACTACCAAAGAGGAAACAGTCACCCTGTCTAGACTTGTACAAAAGCTTTTTAAAAAAAATTTATTATGGCTGGTATTGCTGTATCCAAAAATGCAAAGTGAATACATACCGAGTCTTTTTAGACACAGGAATCATTGTTTGATGTACACTAATATTTTTAAAATAATATTTTAAAATATAGTAGTTCTGTAGTTCATTTTCCTAACAAATTTAATAACACCACCTTTCACTAATATATCCCTTTTAAGTATTCCTGAAATAATAAATTGTTAAGTCAGAAAATGAGACYGATTCACGTGTGTCGACACATCCTAATGCCATAGTATAAACTGTGCCATCTATGCAGAGACCGTGGATTTTTGTAAAAGAAGATTCCCCGATTCCACCTGAAYGGAAGCAATTTTTCTCTACTTCTTCACCAAGCAATGCAGATATACAAGCAAATATGCTGCAGGAACCTACAAAGCTCAGGGGCTTCTTAGGAGCAAAATAGAACTTTATCACATATTTACATTAAAAATAAGCAAGTTAGAGCAACTTAATAAATACATTTTAGGGTTTTTTTTCCCCCTGTGTTTACTCACCATGTTAACCATCATGTGTTTGCTTTTTACAGATTCARTAGTTGATAAACAAAGCCGATTTTCAGTCAAGACTATAAATTACAATCAACAAATTCACCAGTTCATTCTCATGTAATTTTAGTCCACACAAGCTCCTCCTTTACCAGTAAGCAAGAAAWCCCGTCACTGCTTTAGCACCTTGGATTATTCTTGATGCTCGTGCTCTTGCCCTGGGATTAGCCACCGGATGCTCTCAGTCCGCACAGTCGCATACATAACAAAGCTAGCCAGAAAGAGTAAAGAAAAGAGAAGCAGCCAGTCTATCCCTTTGGTCAGGACACTCGGCAAAGGGCCCTCCCAGTCTTCCTCGGTCACAGTCACATCACTTCTAGCTTCTATTCCTGAAAAGAGAATCACTCGATAAACATCAATAATAATGTAATGCAAATAAGTTGGTTATATTTGGAGCTTTCTTCTTATTCTCAAAGGTGCATTTGCTTAACATTTTGATGAAAGTCTTTGTATTTTAATGTATCTACCATATCATTTACCAATGTAGAATGAAAGGCTTACCAATGTATGTGACGCTTATCGACATATGTGGACACTTTCATAAGAAAACTTTCATTCTCTTTATCCACAGCACAAACTTTTGGAAAAGGGGGCAAGAGAGAAGGTTGGTATTTTTACTGTAGCAGCAAATAAAATAATTCCTGGCCTCTAATGTAAAGTCCCTCATTGGCCTAGACATTTTATTATTGTTGTTGCTATTCAGMAAAACACCACAAAAAGCTGTCCAACTGCGAGCTCACAACGGGGGAAGCAGAGCTCAAAATCTGGGATCCTTTATTCTCTTCCAGCACCATCTTATCCTCCAGCACTGAAACTGTCTTATCCTCCAACTCAGTCCACCTTACACAGTACTGGCAATATTGCCATTGTTCCTCTGCATTTATTCTCTAATTATTGTGGACAAAAAGGTGCTTGATTCTTTGCTGGCTAAAMCTCATTGTCTCTCCCTGCTCTTTAAACACAGTCCAGTAAGATGAGGTTCTGCACTTAGCATGCCCTGAAATCCAGCTCACTAAAGCGAGCAGTTAGATGGACCTCTGCTGCAGATGGTCTCCTCAGGGTCTGCACGAAACTCATTTAAAATAAGAACTAACAGGGAGAAGAAAGTTCAGCTTGGAGCTAGAGCAAACCCTAAATCAGAGCTGCGGAACGTACCTGTTTGATTAAAAATGAAGTCTTTCAGTGTTTCCAGGGTTCTGTCTGTATGATTAAATCTAGCCATAGGTTTAGCACCTTGGAAAAGGAGGATATTGGGTACAGCCACAGTTCCAAATCTGGTTGATAAACTGAGGGACATAAAGCAAATACAAGACACGAAGGAAGAGACATGCACCGGAAGAAGAAACAAGACTCACAATACAGGTAATGTCAGTTTTACTCTAATAATTTTCAACTTTTCAACACACAACCACTTTCTTGTGTCATTAGGAAAATGCTTTTCTAATGAGTTAGTCATCACTGCAAGCTTCAGCATTGGATCAGCATGTTGTTTCATCATAAGAACATGTGCTTAATGGGCCTKAGTTTTCTTAATTGAGAATATACTAGGATGCAGAGATTATGTAGCCCTTTTTTGGCTAATGAAATCCCTGAAGAAAGCGGCCAAACACAGTTATCAGCTGAATTACATCTACTGATAGACTAACACATTTCCTGTATGCTTAAAGTTGTTAAGAGGGGAAAAAAATATGTAAGCAGCAAAGCCAAAAATAAAGGGGACAACCAACTATTTATATTGGTGGGTTTTTTTTTCCCCTTAATCACTTCTGTTTTAAAAACAAAACTTTGTATTGAAAGCAAATTGCTATACGATTATAAGAAGCGKGAATTACCTGCTATGCTGAGACGCATCTAGGGCTAGAAAGCGAAGGGTCGGGAAGGCCCGAGGCAAAGAGTTAAAGTGGGGTGCCAGGCTGGCGGAGAAGCGGCACCACGGCGTGTAGAACAACACTAAGGTGCAGTCGCTGCTGTTGGGGTTCAGGAACTCCATCAGGTCCTTAAAGAAAGGAGGATAAAAGCAAGCGCAGACAATTAAACACGTAACGGGGTTCCTGTTGGCAGGAAGGCACCGTTCAGCGAGCAGCCTGACATGGCCACCATTGACTGAGAACGCCGGCTTACCTGAGAAACGTTGAGGATCTGCAGCGTGACGTTCGCCAGCCCGGTGCCGTTTCTCTCCTCGCAGGTCACTTTGGGCGTTTTCACGCCCTCGGTGCCGTTGGCCTCCTCGGCCGGCGCGGGCGGCACCGTCTCCAGCACAACGGGGGAGCC